CCCCCCCCCCCCCCCCTACCCCCCGAGTAGACAAGATATGCTGAAAAAATTTCCCCAATACGCCAGAATGTCGACACTCCTAGACACTCCGTCAAGAGCATTGTTGTTCAAAGCTTCAAACTAGGGATGCCGTCATTAGGCACACCTTCAACTACATTCATACGGAAAAAAACGCCACATGGTGCCTTCTCGGAAAGCCCCGGAAACCCAAGAGATCAGCAGATTCCCGAACCCAATGATGGATCCCAACAGGCAACTCTGACAAGACCTGTGCCACAGGTGAACGAAGGCAAAGGAGATAAACAAAAGCAGGGCCTGCTCCTCCCCAATTGATGTCGCGAACGAACCGCCAGGTTGCAGCGTGTTTCCGCGCAGGCTGCCTTGAGAACAACAACCTGCTAGGTTGGAAAGCTACGTGAACGACCTCAAACTCAGACACCAGCAGTCATCCTTTCCGCTACGTTGCCGACACCGTAGCGTAGTAGAAGTGGTCCGCCTTGGGTTTGGGTTAGTGTTGTCCTGTTATCCTCAGAGTTCGAAGCACTCGACGGGTTTTCTTCACCTTACCCGTATTTATGGGTTTCTGAGGTTGGGTTAGTCCCCTCTTGTTTGAAGAGCCCCTGGTGTCGTGGGGGTGCTGTACTGAAGAACACCCCGCGGTCGGGTTAGCAGCACGAGAAGATTTCGCAGATTGCGCCGTCTTCTCGGTCGCGATTGCAGGGGCAGCCGCGTTCTCCTTGTCGACGTCGTTGTCCTTCGTCGAGTCCTTCTCCCCCTGCGCTCCCTTCACCCCGTCCGCATGGCCACTCCCGTTTTGGTCACGGGGAGGGACATCATCAGGAATGTCCTCGACGTCCGAGACATCAGACGCCTGGGTTTCCGGCACAACCGAGAGTTGTCCGGCGCGTATCTCGTCTGCGTTGGAATGTATTTTCCTCAGTTCAGTCGGAGGTAAGACCAAGACAACCGGTTGGTCGGGTGTCACAACGCGGACTGCGTGCAGTTGGCGAGAGCCCCTCGTAGCCTGAATAATCTTCTCCATCTGGACCCTGATGAGGCAGCCAAGATTGCCGCTATCCTGAGCAATGCCATTCGCCCCTACTTTCCACAGGCCAGCCATCCGGTCATAGCTAGACACGTCTTGCGGCACACAGGAACTAAATACTACTGGGTAGCGGCAGTCTTCATCCGGCGCGCATTTTGCGTAGTACATCGGACAGGTGGCGTCGATCCACAGGTAGAGAGCACTAGTCTGCGAACCCAAGAACTCCTTTCCGGCAAGACAGGAAGCGCGCAACTCCTCGTGGCCCAGGGCACGGATGAGGCGAACAAATCCTGCAGTGTCTGCGTCCGGGTACAGGGATTCGGCCGCTTCCTCTTTCGTGTCGTACACAATCATCTGCCCCCAAACCAGCAGGGTCTACTCGTGGGGTCCGTAGCTTTCTGTTGAGGAGATGCTCAACACCCACTCGTCGTAGTCATCTTTCTGGTTAATCGGTGTACAGCACCGAGGGCAGGGGGCGACGGGGGGGTCAGACAGTGCTACCACCATCCATTCTGGGGTAGAACACAACATTGTGTGTGTGTGTGTGTGTGTGTTTTTTTTTAATTAATAGCATCGACCGCGCTATCCGGCTGACCAATGAAAAGACGTCAGTCTCAGTGCGGTTGAATTGAAAACACAAAACACTTCTATCTGCCATGAACTGGGACCCCGTGAGGGGGCAGCATGGNTGGGGTCCGTAGCTTTCTGTTGAGGAGATGCTCAACACCCACTCGTCGTAGTCATCTTTCTGGTTAATCGGTGTACAGCACCGAGGGCAGGGGGCGACGGGGGGGTCAGACAGTGCTACCACCATCCATTCTGGGGTAGAACACAACATTGTGTGTGTGTGTGTGTGTGTGTTTTTTTTTAATTAATAGCATCGACCGCGCTATCCGGCTGACCAATGAAAAGACGTCAGTCTTAGTGCGGTTGAAAACACAAAACACTTCTATCTACCATGAACTGGGACCCCGTGAGGGGGCAGCATGGGGGAGGCTAAACTATCCTTCGGATTAAAAACAGAAACAGCAGCAACAGACGAAAAATGCACGCGTCTACCAAGGCTATTACCTAGTACTCGNACACTTCTATCTGCCATGAACTGGGACCCCGTGAGGGGGCAGCATGGAGGAGGCTAAACCATCCTTCGGATCAAGGACAGAAACAGCAGCAACAGAAGAAAACTGCACGTCTACCAAGGCTACTACCTTGTACTCGAGCTCGTTTAGGAGAACTTTCACGATTATCCTCCTTGCTTTCGCTACCATCATTCCTGTTGTCATTTCACAAGAGTCTCTGGGCAGTTCTTCTTTCAGGCGAACTAAGGCTCTTTCGTCGTCAAAATCCCCCCGGCAAAAAGCTTCGTGCGCCAAGTGGTTGGCGATAGCAACGATGAGAAGATTGGTGCCTGTACCAAGACCACCATTCGTTGAAAAAACAGCAGTAAGGAGGGTAAATTTAGACGTGTGTGTGTTGTTTTTTTTGTAGCTGGATGTGTCTGCTGTGTGACGGACTCGGTGTTTAGGTCGTCGTGCACCACGACAAAAAATTGCCTTCCCGCATTGGCGGTTGGAAGGCAACATTGTCGTAATATGTGAATCGTCTACACCACGACAGCGTGCGGTTGGAGGACCGGCTGGTACTACTGTCCTCGAATTGGACAACCTGCGTCGCGTTGATTGAACGTTTGCCAAGCGGGAAAGGAAAACACTTTCGCGGAATTGGGAATGGATAACACGGCGGCGTTCTGGAAGTTTTGCACGTGCCCGGCAACTCGTCTCGCGGCACGATCCTCTAATGTCGGTATGCTTTAAATATCAAACTACCTCGATCGCCCAGCCCATCTTAGCTGCCGTAGCTTGCGCAACGCCCAGGCAGCGGTCCTTATTCGACAGTTCCGGCTTCTCGACAACGGCCTCGGCACAGGCCGTCTGTATGGCCGGCGGCGAATTGTGCCCCGGGATGGCACAAGGGAGGCGCTCGGTAGAGATTGTAACTTGCGACGTGACAGCCGCAGTGGACTGCAAAAAAGAAACAAAAAGAAAAGCAACATGATGTTCGGGTATGAAGGTATGGCGCATAAGCTCCGTGATGTGTTGGTACGGGGCGCTAAATACAACCATCGACCGATCTCCCCTCGCATACGGACGTGAGACCACGAAGCAATTTCTACCCGGTGCGCACCTTAAAAACCCCCTGCGCATACGCGGTTTTGAAGGCGATCTCGGTCCTAGCCTCCACTTTCGCCGCCGACTCGGGCGATGCGACGAAGGCCTCAACCTTCCGACCGCTTGAAATAGCAGTTTCCACTCCGGTGTTGTGTTCCGCGCCGAATAGTAAGACGGTGTCGCATTGACGCGAGTATCTGCGGCATAAGGCGGCAATACGCTGGTCACCTTTGTTGGTCCGGGATACCGAGAAGAAATACTCACGTTTTAGCGCATCTCCGAAAGTATCAAGCACTGACGCGAACAATAATAAGTGGCTAGAGTCTCAGCCTCTCCACTTCGAGTTCCCCGTTGCCGCGGACGAAGGCTTTATCGTTCACGTTCAAACGAAAAATCCATGCTTCTTCCTTCTAAGTAGGTGTCAAACATTGACCACATACCATCGCGGACACCAACAAGTGCACCACTTGACCACATAAATCGGTGGCTCGGCAAGTAAGTGACGCTGTCATGTGTTGGGAAGCATCGCTCGCTCGATGTCCTCCCTATCATGTCGGGTTTGGCTGCCGACGACGAGAGAACACTAATAATAGAAATGGGTTGAAGACGTATACAGGATACATAACAATATCCAACGACGATATGAAATGTCACCTCTTCACCAGGAACATCGAGGCCTTGGTTGGCCAGTCCACGCCTTTCCCGGGGTGTTGGATGTCGGTGAGGATCGACGAACACTGGGGTGATACACTGGCCGCCTTGCTGTTCCCGTACAGTTCGTCCGTGGTCACTTTCTCGTTCACAGTGAAACCATCCGTCGGCGAGTTGCTGGATGAAGAAGACGTCAGATGTACGAGCATGACCGCGTCCTGGCTAAACTTCAGATGAACGTTGGCGGCGGACGCAGGGCGTCCTGCTCCGGTAGAGGAGTACACCAGAGTCAGCATGTTTTCCTCGATAACCATGCGCATGCCCGTAGCTGTGAGAGCGTCTGCAGGGACAGAGATGCGCGATTGAAAAATCCAGGCGCGCCGTTAACCCATCGGTATGACGGTGGTGTCTGCGTTGAGCAACCAATGCAATCAGTAGGCCAACAATGTACGCCGAGGAACTCAAGGTAAATATTGCCAGCTGACAACACGCGACGCACTCGCTCTCTGCGTCTCGGAGAGGTGTGAGTGGTTTCCCTACCCTATCTCTTCTGCAAGCGCATCAGACCTATCAACGTGAGGGACACGTGAAGGGTTTATTAACACGACCTTCACGTTGTCGTGCGCTCGAGATTGCGCCCTCGACCAATCACTTGGGTAGGTTATTCAAGTCTGCGGGTTCACCTTGCAGGTGGTGTCCATTCTCGAACCACGGATGGGGGACCAGAAAAGCCATAGTTCCCCGCGGGCACATCATGTTGTGCCGGACGTTGTAGATGAGGTCTGCGAGCCTGTCGTCGTCGGCCTTACACCCCTGGAATGCGCCAACGTTGAGCAAGACCAACTTGGCCTGGCTGTGGAGGTCGATCGCAGCCTGCTCATCGCGATCCAATTCGAGCAGGTTGTACTCCTCGTGCACGACGAATTTTTGCGCCCTAGGAATGCTGTGGAGAATGTCGGGTTAAGACTGTTGTTGCCGGGTCATACGAACATCGAGCATGCCCATGTCGCAACAAGAATTCTTCACGGGAGAGGGGAAGGGCGTCCAGACACATATTCGACACCTAATGCTTGATGCGGGCTCGCAGATACAGGCAGAGTATTAAACTGGGGTTGTGCTATGGAGTCTCGTGACCCGAAAAAACCCGATACTTGAGAATAAGCAGTGGGCGTGTGTGACTAGATGTTCAGGGTTTAGAGCTCTGTAACGCGTAGGATACCAAGGTTCGGGTGGACCCTCCTCGGGTAAAACGACAAGGACGAGGCGGCGCCGGATCAAAACTACCGCGGGAGAAAGGAGATACGATACACATAAGACAAGGGTCAGATCGACAACCACGTTCATGGTGAAGAAAGCACCGAGAGCGACGCTACCACGGATCCCCTCGCGCCCGCCCCGTGTTTGTAATTATTTACTTGGCTACTCACATGCACTCCTCCACGTCTTCAACGGGCGCCGGCGTCAACAGCAGCCCTCCGTGACCGGTGGACTTGCGCCGACTCGCTTGCCTGGCCTTCACCACCGTGCCTCCGTTGTCATTCTCCTGTCCTTTGGCTGTATCCTTCCCCTTCTCCTTCCCCTTCTCCTTCCCCTTCCCCTTCCCCTTCACTTTTCCGGTCGGCGGGGTGGTTTCGTTCGCCGTTCCTCCCTCATCACCCCATCCATGCCTTCCTTCCTCTCCGTCTCCGAAGTCCCCGTCCTCTCCGCCCCCCACATCCCCATATTCTCCGTCAGAGGATTCTTCGCCTTCCTCCCCGCCCCCCGCGCCGCTTCCGACACCAGCCTCCGTCGCCTCAACTCCCGTGTCGCCCTCTGTCGAGCCTTGACTGGATGAAGTGTCGGCGACGAGCTCGGAAATGTTGTAGGCCAACACAACTTCCTGAAACTGCTTCTGAAATGTCTCGTAGTGGGTTGCCGACGGGTCTGTCTTCCTCCTAGTGACAGCCTGCATCATCCGGCAAACGAATCGGCCACCATGTGGGACGAGAAACACAGGAGAGGTTGAATCACTGCACTCCTAACACTCAATAGTCGTCCAAAGACAAAAGACGCCTTCCCTTTCACAGCGCCGCCAAAAAACAGGAGGGAATACGCAACAAAAAACAGGGCATGTAATCCTGGGTAGGTACCTTGTGGATGCGGCCGAGGGGACTCGCGGCGGAGATGACGTGGAAGTGGTCGTCGGACAAACGTCGGTCGCCGGGCAATTTGTTGCTGAGTTCGTTCGCCTTGTCATCCCGCTTTTGCATCCATGGGCGGACAATTGTCTCGAGAGCGCCTGACTGGACGTAGGCGTACTTTTCTACCAGCCTGTGGAACGAGAAGCCGCGGCAAGAACAAGAAAAAGAAGAAAAGAAGAGAAAAGGTCTTTGGCTGAGTGGAAAAAAAACAATTGTCACGCCTTCGCGGCTAAGTGCTACGGGCCTGGTGTGCCGACACGACGCCTTGTAATGCTACATGACCTGTGGTATGCGACGTTATCACTCACACTGCTAGCTCGGGGGACCACTCGCCACGAGCGCCAAATGCCGCCTCAGTCCGTTCCATGAAGTCATGTGCATCGTGAGCGAGTTTGGCGATGTCAGGTAGATCAGCGACCGTTAGCGCCTTCGAGTTGTCGGATCGGGAGCGGAACCTGGCGAGGAGGCGGGGAGGGGGGGGGGGGGGTGGCGGTTTGGAGAACCTCGAGCACAAATTATAGCCGTATCAGACACAAGTTGACAGCGTCAGATAACTCGGGAGGCTCGGGATATCTGACCAGAAACATGTGTGTTTCAAGTTTGCGGTGAGGGATTTAGGCTAGGTACTTTGCCACACGCATGCGTGTCTTGTAACGGCCGACCAACTCAATGCTCACCTAACCATGTGTTCGAGCATAAGAGCTTGCATCGCACCACTGGTCCGACCGACTTCACCAAACGCGCTGTGGCCGAGAGTGGTCCACGTAAGGGACGCCATGTGGATGGACGGGTCTTCGTGAGATCTCTCTTGGATCCACTGCAGCGCCTGGAAGGCTACCGTCGTCAGAAAATAAACGGCAGCCTTATGGCGGCGGATGGTTGTTTGGCCAGGTGGAGAGACACCCCCCTGCGTTCCGACAACAGATTGTCACCAGAGGCAAGTTCCGCAGAGAGGGTTAGGATCATCACAACGTATTTTGCAACGGCAGCACGAACAAAGGTGCGAAGACGGAGGACGTCTTTCCTGCCAACATCATCAGCGTCTATCCAGCTGGTGGGGGTCCCCGGAACGCACCTTTAGGTAGGCGTCTTGTATCATCTTAACAGATGGGACAACAGAACCCTTCATCTTCCTGAAGCCATCGAGGAGCTGGTTCATGAAGAAAACATCGTCGAACACGCCACGGGGTACCAGAGCCTGCGCGACGTTGTTCAAGCCTGGACGTGGCAACATGCAAGAGGGAGCGCGCTGGAGGAAGATATTAGACAAAAAATCAACATCGGGTTGTATGATACACTTCGAAGCACTGTGTAGTACATTCGAGCTTTCAGAATGATGAACTATTTGATGAGTATTGAAGTAGGGCGCTCGGACAAAGAAATACTGTTTGTGGTTTCCTCTAGATTTAATCAGGGCATATTTACAGAGCGGGGTGTAGGATGTTGTTGCACATTCCTTGCTTACCTGAGGCGACGACGGCCTCTTCCAGCGGCTTGAAATCGGTATAGATGCGACAGGGGATGACGAACTCTCTGCCATATAGCTGCAAAGCACAGTGCGTCCTGTGCGCGCCGTCTAGAATCCGTAGTTGGAGCTTCGTGGCTGCCGCCGCACTCAGCCCGCCGGCGGGTACATTCGATGCTTCAACCATAGCCAAGATGGCGTGCTGCTGCAAGAAACCACGGGCTTGCTTCATTTCTTGCATACCACCGGCACAGTCTCTACTAGATCCAATGGTACCTACGAAGAAGATGACAACATAACGAATCCCCCGCCCCCACTAGACTACTTATTACCGCACGCCCAAGCACGTCGCTAATTGAGTGTCGACTACGTAGTTGATTTCTCCGCAGGTCCCAATCTCGAGTAGAAACAGGACGACCCCCACCCCGACGAGTGCGCGAGTGTAATTCGTATTTCCTTTCGAGTCGGGGGCGATGAGCAAGGTCTAACCATATCGCATATAGCACTCACCTTTCTGCAGGAGATGTACGCCCGTTTTGCGGGGCACACACACCATGTGCACGGAGAGTCCGACTCAGCATTCAGCAGGTCATACTTCAACCAGATATGGCGAAAAGTGAGACCCTTGATCAAGGTAGCAAGGTTTGGGGATTCATGAAATGTAGCGACTGCACAGATATTAACGAACTGCACGGTGCCCCCGGCATCAGACCGATCCAAGATACCCGGCAGAGAGCGGAGATTGCTCGTCACCAAGAGGCACACCACAAAGTAAGTTCGGCAGGGACAACCAGGCGGCCACAAACCTGTCACACATGCACCTGTCGGCACTTTCCCGTAGTAGTCATGTTGCCCTAAAGTTGTTGGTTGCCCCTGTTCGTGAGTCTGCGAACATTGCTGTTGGATACATGTGCTGGATGATTTAGTGTCACGCAGACTGGTAAGATAACCGTTTGATAGGGGGCACCGCGATGATTCACGGGGCCCCTCCTTGCTGTGGGAGCCGCTCTTTGAGCACTCCCTCTTTCGTCCGTGTGAAGGACGGTCGTCTACCTCCCGTGAAGTTAATACATCACCAAAACAGTCTC